TTTACAAAGGCAGGCCTGGCTGCTGTTCATTGTTGGTTAACATCTGGAAATTGATTGGAAATGGAGGTCGGAATGGCTTCCAGAGCGGAGTGGAGATTAATGGAGAACGCTGCTCAAGAAAGACGCACGCACCGAGTTTTGTTCGGCTGCCGTAAGATTGCAAGGAACACAACAACGCAGCCAGACTCATTTATTGTTGCTGTTACTTTGCAAAGGAGCATCCCCAGTCAAAAGGATGCAAAAGGATGGGGAAGAAGAAGATGAAAGTCATGAATAGGAAAGAAAGCTAATTATGGGAATAAATGGTTTGGTGGTGCAACAACAAAAGGTTTTGTCACCTTTGGTTGGGAGGGGAAAGCATTGCTCACGGATCACCTTCTATGCAGGTAGTTCTGGGTTTTCAGTTGAATTAGGGAATGGCAAAAAATGTCCTTGGTTTAATCATAAGAAAGAAAAAAGAAGGCTATAGACAGTGGAGAGGAAGGAGAGAAGAATAATTTCCAAGCACCAGGAGATATTCTTGGCTGTTTCCTCAAAGGAATGTTTCATTCCTCTCCCCAATGTGGTGCCTTTTAACTTTTTGATTCCTTGCAAAATGTGCGCTTAGATCAACAGCCCACAAAAAAATGTCTCGTAACATCAAGGCGCGAGGAGGAACATCTTAGACTATTTCATCCTTGCGTGTGAGGATGAATAATGAAGATAGTTAATTATGAGCATCCCAGCCCAGTTATTCTCGCCATACTTCAACATCCGGAAGTATCGTGGGGGAACTATTTGGTGCTGGAAAACACAGAAATAATGCAGTTTTTGCAGGGCAATGAATCAAAAAGAAAGTCCTGCTTCCAGCTGGCAGAGGTCCACAGCTCAAGCTTATAGTCCAGGCTTGACCTGTCTGTAAGCCTCCATATTGATTTCTGGGACACACACCTGTTCACTTGACTCTTCGACTTATAGTTGCAAAAAACCTTGGAGTATAAATGTTCCAAAGCAAGAATACTCTCATCCGGTGGTTCCCATACTTTGGTCCTCCAGATGTTTTGGACTTCAGCTCCCAGAATTCCTGACTGTTGGCTAGGCTGGCTGGGGGTTCTGGGAGTTAAAGTCCAAAATACTTGGAAGACCAAAGTTTGGGAGCCGCTGCAAAATCACACTGTGCTACATAATGCCCAGGAAAGGGTACAACAGCCATAACAAAACCCCCAATACTTCCAACACACTCTGATACACCACGAAATCTATTATATTTGGTCATGGAAACCCACTGGGTGACCTTGGGGGAGTCACACTCTCTCAGCCACAGGAAGGCCCACGTTAAGCTCACCTTAGGGATGCCATAAATGGAAAACGACTCAAAGGCACCCAACCATAACAGCAAAGTCATAGCATCACAATGATAAATATAGTTTGCCACAAGCTACCAAAACTTTGGAGGAACAGACCAATAAGTTAGTAGTAACATAAATGAGCAGCACTAACCTTTTCCAAAGACAAATTAGACTGGGGGGTCCCTTAGGAAAGCCATGAGCCGTGATAATATTGAAGTCCAATGTTACTTCTCTGCAGTAAATGCAGTCTGCAATGGCAGGTGAAATAAATGACTGGGCTCCTTTCCTTTGATAAGAAACACCTGTAGAAATCCCCTTTTCTGCCCGCCTTTAAAGGGAAAGGAGCCTTGTCCCTTATTTTACTTTATTCTCCACAAATCTAGCAGTTTGAGCCCAAGGCCCCATCCTACCAAAGCCTGGGATGGGTAGTTTGCTAAGGAACGTAAACTCTTCTTCTGGAGAGATGTAGTGCTGTAGTTTTAGGGGAAGGTACCAGTTTCTGTAGTTCAGAGGGAGGCACATGCTTCTATCCTACAGAATCTTGGTATATGTAATTTGGAGACGTGCTTAAATGTTGCCATCTATCACCAAACTACAAATCCCAGGATTTCATAGGATGGAGCCATGGCAGTTAAAATGAGATCAAGCATCTATAAGTGGCTAACATGGACATGGATGGTTCCAGGCTGTTGGGCTGTGAAATATGAGACCTTGGACTGTTCCACAATATACCTGTTTGTAATACAACTCCCAGCATTTTCCAAAAAATAAATTTTCATAGGCACTGTAAAATCTTCTGTGGCTGAGCCGGGGCTTCTAAACAGCAAACAGTTGTGGCTGGGGGATTCTGGGAGCTGTAGTCTGTAAAAGTAGCTTCTCCAAGCTCTGCAAAGGATGGTTGATTCTTTGGGGCATGATGCCATCCCATTGAATCTAAAGCTTGCAAAGCTTGCAGGCTTGAATTTAAAGCTTGCAAAGCTTGAATCTAAATTTTCAGTAATGCAGGACAAGGTATAGGAAGGTTAAAAAGCAGATTTTAAGAGCATTGTTCTGTGACCATCCAGGAAAAGACAAGCTCTGTTTTTCCTTCTTGTCAGTGTTCTTTTTCACGGTAATTAGAGAACAGGCCTTTTGTCTCTTGCATTCTCATAAAAGGTGTCATGTATTTATTTCCTGCTAGAAAGCAAACTATTTTTTTCTGGCTTATGAGACTGTAAGAAAATAATAAAACCCATAAGTATGTGACGCTTGTTACAATTCTCCTTGACACCCCCCCCAACCCAAATAAAATGATGGCTTTTATGGGAAGTATTTTTGGATGATTACTTCCTTCAGGGTCACACATTTTTGGTTCTGCTTGTTTTGGAAGAGCATTCCTTAGGATGTGTGGAGTGTATATGGATCATGTTTAAAGAGCTCAAAACAAATGTGCAAAACATGAACCAGAGGTCTCCTAAGACACCGAGGCAAAAATATGGCATTATTTGTGTCGGGAGTGGTGACGGTAGACGACTTACTTTAATTTTTAAAACAAAATACTTTTGCTTTCCTATAAGGAAGAAGGCCAGCATGGTGTAGTGGTTGGAGCATTGGATTGTGACTTTGGAGACCAGGGTTGGATTCCCTGCTTGGCCATGGAAACCATAAAATTGGACTTGGTCTTCAGGAAAAGGTAAGAATCCACTGTGGTTCATTGTGGGATGAGAACATTACCCACATTCATAAGTTTCTTCCTATAGATCAGGGAAGGAATTTTATACTGAAGATATCTGAATGGAGGAAAAAGCAAATGTGCCCATCAAGGTGAAGGCCTTTGGGTACTTAGCTCTTAAAAGGTTGGCTTTCAAGCCCTATGTGTATTCAGCCAGGTTTGTGGTGCTGGATAAGGCATGCCACGTCTCTTTTCTTTCCCTTTCTTTCCAATTTCCTGAGAGTTTCCTCATTTTAACTCTGCCCTACAGAGTAGACAAGTACAACACGTTCTTCTCTATGCTTACAGTAACTGCTATTACTGAATCTGACCAGAGAAGATATGGAACGATTCTCTTTGGTGTTTTTTTTTAATCAGCATCAAATTCTCAAATTTCATCTAAAAGAGGATGGAGAAAACTTTTTAAAAATGAATGAGAGAAAATCTCTGCTCAGACATGGAAACCCATTGGGAGACTTTGGGTAAACACATCCTCCAAGGAAAGTTGGAGAGAAAATTCACCATGACTTGTTCATTCTAATGAAATGAGCAAAGGTTTGCATCCCTTAATGCTGTTGGCTTGCAAATCCCATTATCCTGCTCCATTGGCTATGGGGGCAATTAGATCTCACAGGAATTGCAGTCCAACCACATCTGGAGGGCTACATCTTCTCCTTCCTGGCTTCCCCATGGAGCAAGCTCCTCTCCCCTGGTTCAAAACTGGGCTTGGAAAACCAGGATTTGTCTCAATGCATGGTGGTGGCAGTGCTGGAAAGATCCATTTATTTTCCACCTGATTCTGAGCCAAGACTCTAAGATTTAAGGATGAGCCCATTTATTCTGGCAGAAGGTTTCTTGGCTTCCAGTTCACTTTATCAGACACATGAAGGATAACACCAAAGATCATTCCTCATGCAGGCAGTGATGCAACCCCTTTTTAAGCTCACAATAAATTTGTTAGTTTTTAAAGTACTCTTGTCATCTTAAGAGGAAGTTCTCTGTTGAACACATGAACCAGGAGAGAAGTTAAGATCTTAGAAGGTCATTCTCATTTCTTGTGCACCTTCAAATCATTTCCAACTTATGAGAACCCTAAGGTGAACCTATCACAGAGTTTTATTGGAAAGATTTGTTCAGAGGGGGCTTGCCTCTGCCTTTCTCTGAGGCTGAGAGAATGTGACTTGGTCAAGGTCACTCAGTGGGTTTCCATTGCTGAACTGAGATTCAAATCTTGGTCTTGTGCATGCAGCTCCATTGTTCTGTACCACCCAGACCATCTAAGAGTCATTATCAGTGCCTGAAGGGCACATTTATCTCAGCTCTTTGCAAGCACATATTTTGTTTTTTGATCTTCTGTAGAACAATACTGAGGTCATGTTTTGCTCCATCCAGAGGCATTTGCTTCACTTTTAGAAGACAGCCTGAAATTAGGAAGAGGTTGAATCCAGAGACGCAGGAGCTCATCGCACCACTAAATAAAACATCTTACCTCTCCTGAATTCAATTTTAATTGTGGGTGGGGGCATCTGGATACTATCGCAGGGATTTTGCCACCAAATCCACCTGGGTCCAGCCCTGGTCTCAGGAGCACTCCAGAAGCCATATTTTTAAGTCGGAAAACTCTCGGTTTTGAAAAGAGGCACACTGAGCATCCCTGGGACTTGGGCTCAACCTGGGCTGGACCTGGGCAGCAGATTCATCAGCAAAATCCCTGTGATAGTATCTGGATGCTGCCCAAATTAAAATTAAATTTGAGAGAGGTCAGACGTTTTATTTTAGCAGTGTGATAAGCTCTACAGAGAGAGTCTCTCTCTTAGACCTATATCCCTGCTCTGCTCTCCAGGCATCCCAGACTCCTCTTCACACCAGATGGTGAGAAAATCGATGTGTGTATTTTAGTCTGAAGCCCCTTAAGCTTAACAACACTTCTCTTTGTTGTTGTTGTTGTTGTTATGTGCCTTCAAGTCATTTCTGACTTATGGTGACCTGCTTGGCCATGGAAACCCACTAGGTGACCTCTCAGCCTCAGAAGATGGCAATAGCAAGCCCTCTCTGAAGAAATTTGCAAGGAAGCCCCAGGATAGGTGCACCTTAGGGTGGCCATAAGTTTGAAATGACTTGAAGGCACACAACAGCAACAACAATAACAATAACAGGAGGAAACCAAGGTTGACACCAATTGGGTTTCCAAGGGGAAGGTTCTCCATGAATAGGATGCTGTGGTAGAGAAGGCTCTCTCCCATGACCCCCATTAATGGGACACAAAAGAGGGCCCCTCCAGCAGATCTCAGACAGACAAAAAACCTATATGTAAGACCACAAAACACATGATACGGAGTGCTATGTATGAACCATGTATGTGTCGAAGCATCCTCAAGCCAACGGGCTTCTAGGGGAGGATTTAATCCTAGACATCGCCAACATTTGACAAGACGTGTTCTTGCTTACCCTCCATCCTTTATTTCACTCTTTCAGTCATTGCCCTGGAGAAGTGCCAACATGTGACAAAATTCTGAAGCTGGCAAAGGGAACTCGGCAGGTTTCATTAGTCTGTCCTTCATCCTGCGGGCCAGTCCGCCATTCACTTTGGGATGCCTGTGACAGTATTGATCTTCCAGATCTTGAGGTTTTATTGATGGAAAGGCATGGATGTTAGCCAAAATGCTTCTCTCCCTTGTACCGACGTAGTGCTGGAATGGCAGTGAAGATGTTAGGACAAGGCGGATTGCAGGAGCAAAGCCTGGATCAAACACTGGATTGGGGCTTGCATTAAAATCACAAGTCACCTTGAAAGTGATCCTTTCTTTTATTGGCTTTGGAGAATGTCAAACCCAAGAAGAGAATCCTCAAACTTGATGGAGGAACATCAAAACTCCACCAAACAGGGATGCCTTTATTGGACCAACCAAAATGCACAATATACATGTTGCAAGCATTGGAAGCTTCTCTGGCTTCTTCATTGGACAAGGTGTTACAAACCAAACAGGAGGGGAAAAAAAGAAGATGTTATTCATAGGCCTGCATTTTGCTATTCCCCCCCCCCCCACTTTACTGGATTTGCTATATGGCCAACACGGCTACCTTTGGATGCAAGAAAGTGATTTATAATCTAATAGGGTAGCCTTGTTGGGGTTACCAGCTCAGCATCGTTGCAAGCCCTGAGGTCTGTGATATAAGTCTTGAGTCTGAAAGCTCTTGCAAAGCATCACCTCTCAAACGCAGAGCAAGGATGCTTCTGCATTGGAGGAAGAATTGTTTTCCACTTACTTAATTCTCCCTGTCTCCAATCTAGATTCCCCCGCCCCCTTCGACTGCCAAGAAACCTTCAAGCATGGTGCAATCTAGCTAACAGTCCTTGCATAAATCATGCTAAAAAATAATGAGTATCTGTGGACTGAATTCATTTAGCTAAATAGATGGAGGGCCACTTTCAAGTTATTTAAAAAGATTAACAAAAGAAGAGGGGAATCGGAAGAAGAGAAGGAGGAAGGGAGGCACGAATAAATCAGCAAAGGGGGGAAAGATGTTGGTGGAAGAGGGGGAAGGGTCATAGAAGAGAGAAATAAATGTTATTAGAAACAATGGATTTCTAACACGGTCCAAATTTGTCCAGCCAAAAATTCTTCCAACCAAGATTGGCAGCTTGATCATGCTTGATGTTCTTCTCCCTCCTTCTTTCAGATGCACTTTTAATTAAACCGAGTTTGCTGTTTCAAAGGCTGCTTAAATGCAAAATTATAATTGGCTGCCCACAGAGTTGGGTGACATTTGCCATTCAGAACTACGCCTTTCTTTTAAAGAGATGGAGAAAGGGATAAAACCACTGTGTAGGAGTGGTTTTATCACTTTCCAACTTCAACCCCCCCAAAAAATAAACCTTCTCAGTGCATGGACCAAGCTTAACCCATCCATGATGAGGAAGGAAGGTCCATCCATTAGGCCACTGGTGGGCAAAGCATGACCCATGCACTCCATGAAGCCCCTGCACCCCACTTTTATAGATCTGAATTGTCCCACCAGTCATCCAAAGCCTCTCCAACTCTACATGTTTCTCTTAAAAAATGTATGATTTTCAGGCAACGTTGGCCTCAAACCATGCCGAATCCTTTTTAATACCCCTACCCCAACAAGTACCCCAGGAACTACCCACAAAGACCTGTTTCCCTCTGTAGTCCCTCTCAAAATGGTGCTAGGAAGTGATGTTTCACCACTTCCTGTTGCCATTTTGAGAAGGATTGCAGGGGGAAATGATGTGTCTGGCTTGTGCAGGGAGCTTGGAGGAAAAATTGCCCCCCGTTTCCCATCATGTATTATGTAGGGTCAGGCAACTGTCTCGGGTGGCAGATGATAGGAGTCAGTAGCTTGCTCTCCAAGCTTTCTCTTGAGCATCCTGACAATTCTCTGTGTTATGTATTGTCAAGTTGGCTTTAACTTATGGGGAACCTTTGGATGAGAGATCTTCATGGGCCTTGGTCATCAAGTGCCCTTGCAAAGACAGGTCTTGCAAAGCCAGGGGGGCTGTGGCTTCCTTGACTGAGCTTTTCTACCGGTGTTAGGGTCTTCCTTTTCCCCCATTGCCTTCCCCTTTGTTGTTGTATTTATTGGTCATCAAGTCAATTTTGATTCATGGCAACTCTGTGAAGGAGAGGCATCCATCATCCCCAATCATCAACAGCCTCACTCATGTCTTGCAAAAACAGGGAACACTCATGGCTTCTTGGCTTCAACCAACCCACCTGTAGTTCAGCCTTCCTCTTTTCCAATTGTCTTCCACTTTACCAAGCATGATCGTCTTTTCTAGTAAGTCACATCATTGCATGATATCTCCAAACTATGACAGTCTCAGTTTAGTCATCCTGGGACACATGTGGGAACTTACTTGTTCCTAAATCCAACTGGCTGCCACCCCTCAGTTCCCTTGATGGATGGAAATCGTTTCCCCATC